TTTCTCTGTGTCCTGCAGACTGTCCAGCAGACTCTTCCATGAAGCAGGAACCCTACAGCAATATCCATCTTGAATCAGCAGTCACTTTTCTGTGGGTCCTGCATGTCCAGTTTATACAGCATAAAGTCAAAAAGTCCAGACAAGAGCAGTATCTTGTCTAAATGGCTAGTGTTGCCATTTTGGAAATAAACTCCTTAACGAGTTTCTTCGATGTCCATCTTCCTTTCTGACACAGATGGTGTTGCCAGGAGCAGTTGTGCCTCACTGTTAAAGAAAACCCTAAACCATTTTAAATGCCATATTCTGTAGTTCTTTAAAAGGTCTGAAGAATGCCTATCCATTTGAAATATATCTCTGTATCTAGAAAACCTAACTAACCTAACTATAAGTTTTGACTATTATAGGTAACTATCTATAATCTATACTAAATTATACATTTTAAAATGAGCTATATAAACACAATACATAAACAAGAAGAGACGTATACACATCACAAAATTGACCTTAAATTTGTATCAATAAATGAATATCCATTCCAACACAAAGAATTCATTTCTATGTTGTAATCCCCTTTTTACCTTTAAAAAAATTGGCTGTGATCATTAACCATTTATAACCAACCATGTAAATGAAAACAAACATTTATACACAATATTTGGGAATTTGGGCATCATTCTTTCCAAATTGTTTCCTGCTGGTAGGGGGCGCTGTCTTGGGGATCTAAGAAAGTGCAGAAATCCTGGCTGTAGTGGTCTGCAAGGCTGCCTTGTCCCAGCTGTTTTGAATGTTGGATCACCTGGGACACTGTTTCAGGGGGTCTGGCTTGGTCGAACCATGTTAGTCTGGAAGGAATCCACAGCTTTACATTTTCTGTGGAAACAAAAATAGAATTTTTTTCCCCAGTAACCTGTCCTTAGACTTAAATTTTGAAGTCAAAGCATTTTTAAATTATATAAATTGTATTAACCCAGCAGTATTTCTTTTAACAGTTGTTGCTATTTCCTCAGCAGTCAAACAATACAAAGGCAACACAATAGCATACAGCATCCAGATTCTCTGTGTGCTTTCCATCTTCACGTGGCTTTTTATTACTCTATTTCTTCTACTTGTATTTTTTTCAAGTATTGAGACAGGGTTTCTCTGTGTAACTTTTGCCTGTCCTGGAATTAACTCTGTATACCAAGTTCACTTTGGAATCACAGAGATCTGCTTGCCTCTGCCTCCCAAGAGCTGGAATTAAAGGCTTGTGCCAGAACACCAGAATACTCAGCTACTCTCTATTTTTTTTAAAACCACTTTATCCTGTTTCTTTTTCTCTCCCAAGCCTACGTATATTTTAAAACACACTGTAAACTTTTAGAGGTTTTTCTTTATCTGAATCTATCTTTACCATAAATCTTTATCTTTTTCTGGCTACAAGTCTTTTTTCTGTTAAACAACATTGCTAAAATTAAAGCCATGGCTGTTTTAGCCGCCGTTTATCCAAGATGTCAGGGGACGGGGGTACCTTTGCTGCCAGCACTGAGAGCTGTGCTCACTGCCTTGGTCTACGATGCCATCAAGCAGCATGCTGTCAGCTTGGAGATGTGGTCACTGCCATTGCTGGCTCTAGTACACACCATTAAGTTGTTAGCAGGGTTTGCAGTTTATGCTGAGTCAGGAAACCTCCCTTAAAGGAGCCTCTCAAGTCTCTGCTTGTCTCTAGCAAAACAGAGCCTAACCGAGAAAAATGCTGTTACCAAGAAGACTTGTTTGTCTGTGTCCTTTTGTTTCTAAAATCCTTTCTTAAGCTTTAGTTTCATTTTAAGTGGAAGTTCTTGTTCCCACGTTGCAGGTGCCATTTTGTTACAAGCAGTTTTCCTGCCACAGCCACGTCAGCCCCAAATGACACACAGAGACGCTGTATTAGATATAAAGCTGTTGGCCTGTTACTAGCGTTTCTAATTGGCTAGCTCTGTCTCAAATATTAACACACTGTTGCTTTCAGCAAGTTAGTGGTACTTCGTTAGGACAGCTATTATAGGACACTAACACCAGTTCCCACATACCAGCTGGGGACAATGTGGCCTCAAGTAGAATATAACTATTGAGCCAAACGGGTATCTTGAGTTCATGCCGAGTAATTCCCCTGGCCAGGCACAGGAGAAAGTGATCCCACAGTGAAGAAGTTCCCAGGTATCACCTTTGTGGGCCCACCAGCTGAGATCATCAGCCCAAGCTGAGATCATCCATGGGTGATGTGACATGCTTGCTCTTCTGTAAGCCTTGACTAAACAGCCTTCAGATGCAATAGCTCAGCTACACTCCTCAAAACTGGACTACCTGGGCTCCGGAAGGCCAGGATGGAAGGATGAGGAGGTAAAAGGCATCGATGGTACAGATGACAGCCCTAGGTGGATGAGGTTTACTTAGCTACAGACTGTCTTCTAAGATTGCGCCTTAAGTGGGTGTGGGGGCTGCCACTCTATTGTCACCACCCTGAAAATGTGTTTGACATGGCACCTTACATCTTCACTTTACAGTGTCCCACACATCAAACCAGTGTTGTTACCAGCCAGATTCTGCATTGTATCTGTAAAATTGGTGTCTCTTAATATTTCCCACAGAGTCAACATAGTCAAGTATGAAATCACTGTACTGGGGGAGGGGGCTGCAATATTTTTATTGGCTGATGTTTGAGACAGGGTTTCTCCGTGTAGCCTTGGTTATCCTGGAACTCAATCTATAGACCAGGCTAGCTTCAAACTTAGAGATTCACCTGCCTCTGCCTCCCGAGTGCTGGGATTAAAGGCATGTGCCACACAACTGCCCAGCTGATTGGCTAATTTTTTAAAAAGGTGTATTTACTTATTAGGTATACAGTGTTCTACCTGCATGTATGCCTGCATGACACAAGAGAGCACCAGGTCTCATTGAAGATGAGAGCCATCATGTGGTTGCTGGGAATTGAACCTGGGACCTCTACAAGAACAGCCAGTGCTCTTAACCTCTGAGCCATCTCTCCAGCCCGATTGGCTAGTTCTTAACAGGGTCTTTCAGGGCTGGCTTTAACTCCCAGGTTGATTCTAGTGACTCAGCTTCCTTAATGGTTCTGGACACGTATTTACAAATATTCACCAGATGTGTTTGGGGGTTGGCAACCAGTCTCCCAGACTCTAACCCACTCAGAATTCCTGTCCCAGGTTAGAGATGAACGTTCCAGTAGAGAGAGGGGCTGCAAGCCAAGGAGTCCTGCTGTGAGCACAGAACCCACAGTAGACTATTCTGATTTCCAGATGAGAGGAGGCCCTGGAATTGCTCAAGGTGCCATGACAGCGTAGCTGAATTCTCAAGCACGGGATCTGTAGGTAAGAAGGGTCCACTGTTTTGCCATCAACCTAAGAGACATTTACAGATGCTGACTTGATTTAAAAAAAAAAAAAAAAAAAAAAACTGTCCTGGAAAGACAGCTGACTGCAGACTGTGACTGCTGAGTGAGTGGCTACCCAGTCACTGGCTATTATTGGAGTGATCAGATGTCATTATGGCACCCGTAGCCTTCTGAGAGCATCCAGAGCGAGCAATTTGAGCCGTTCAACAGTGCTCCTGGCAGTGGCTTGCAATCTTGCTTCAGCTCACTGAAGTCAGTATTCTTACAGCAAAATGAGCCTTTACCTTGGAGCTCATGCAAACAATTTAGCATGGCAGGGATGTTTGTAGCTTGTGTCTCAGAGCCACAGACTCTGGGTGTGGGAGTAAAGATGAGGACAGCCAGCACAAGGCTGCATTTTAGGAAATATACATGGGAGAGGGGGTCAGAAGTACCAAGTGAAAAAACATGTCACTACGGGGCACTCATATCTAGGTCACAGCCAGGGTCCCTTGGGCAACCCTCCAAACCTGTGATAATACTCCTACTCCACCACAGCCTCCTCGTAAAGCTGTGCTTAAAAACCACACAGAACCTCTTTCAAGCGGCTGGTCAAGGAGGCTCCAGAGACACTCCCCGAAAAGATAAAAGCTATTGCCATTGCTCTTAATTGCTATTGCCCCAGATGATGCTGGGGATACCACACACACTGATCTTAGGAGTATTCGAGTAGCTACTGATCTGCAAAACTCCCTGCTGCTGTATTTCATAGCATTAGAGAATGCTATGCTGGCTGCTGCAGGAGAAGTCGTCAAACGCCTTACCCAGCTACGAACCCGTGAGCTACAGTAATGATCAGCCTGCAAGATACGCCCACTGATGCAAGGGAGGCATGAATGTTACAATAGTAACCAATGACTTTCTTATTGGATTTAAGTCCACTCTACAGAAGGGAACTCAAGTCTGGTACAATAAGCTCAATCAACAACCTATGGCTGGGAGATTGTAGGACCCGGAAGCTGCTACTATCATTTTGCTTAGAGGGACATGGTATCAAACTGCGAAGTATTTATCTTTACACCCACAGATTAGCGTAGCTCAGAGAGAGCAGTATCCAGACTCACAACTGGTGAAGTGCAGAGAAGTTAAGTGTGCCATTAACTGTGGCCCTGAGTGGGCTGCAAATACTCTCTCTCCCTCAGACCTCAGGGAATGATGTCACAGGAGGGGTAGGGAAGACTCAGAGCCAGAGGCCAGCAGGGGCTGGGACAAAGCTGTGCCCTGGGCCTGACAGATCACTGTACTCACGAACTTACAGCAGCCGGCGGCCTGCACAGGATGACCAAGCCAGTCACCATCCCGGCATGGATGGAGGAGTCTCCCAAGGCCCCATCCTAGCCAAGGAGATACTGGTGACTGATGGCTGCTGGGGGCTAAACAGTGTTTTCTTTAGGGGCTGCACAGGTGTGGCTGCCTGTGTTCCTGAGAGTCCTACACCCATGGACAGATGGGCAGCACTAATTAGATTTGGTGAGGCATGGAAGTTAGGAGGGAGACTTAGGGGGCAGGGATTCTAGAAAAGTCAGAAGGGAAACGAGAGAAGTACATTTAATCAAAATATATTGTACATATGCATGAAATTCTCAAAGAATAAATACAAAATGTTTTATTAAAAGAGAAGTCATCCAGGGACCAAGCACTGATACCTGGCTGCGGAGGTCTGGAGAGATAGGCCTATGCGTGCTGTGTTTAACTCTCCTGCCAGTGAGGCCAGGCTGCTGGGCCAGGAAATGTGAGGAGGTAAGATGGACCATGTTTATGTCTCTTGGGGATGTCATTTATTTTTTGGTTACACATGAATTCTGGGAAAAAAATCCCAGTGAGTTGGGACAGGAAATTGTACAGCTAGCTGAATGACAAACAGCCTGAGGATGGCCTCCACCATGAGCTCTGCCTTCGTCAACCATCTCTGAAGTACAGATCACGAACTCTGCAGTCTGACCCACAGGCAGAGGCAGGCAGCGCCGAGGCCTCCCCTCTACCTCTGCCCTCTTTCACCACAGAGTCCCTGTTTTACCCCATCGCCTCTGGCCTCTGCTTCCCAATCTTCTTCTGCCTCATGGGCCTGGCATTCATACTCTGTGGTGCCGTCGTCCTCCTCCTCCTCCTCCTGGTCCTCCTCACCCAAAAGGAAGCTTCTGGGGGAAGTGTCCTGGTGCCGACGGGATGATGTCTTCTTTCTCCTTCTCAGCAAATGAGTCAGGTCGGGGCCCTGCTTCCCTGCTGATGGCTGTGCCAGGCTCACACACTGAAGCCCTTTCTCCTTCTTGCGTTTATACTCCATTATTTGCTTATTCAGTGCCTCGTGGTCAATCCCACACAGATTTGGGTGTGTGGCTGGTTCTTCAGCATCGTGTGATGGCAGGGCATCAGGGTTCCTGGACGGGGGTAAGTGGGGAGAACCCTTCACTCAGAGCCCAGAGCATATGGAGCCCAACCAAGGAGTATGGACCAAAGCATCTGCATAGAACACTTGTCACATCCCCTCACACTTCTGAACTTTACGCTCTGAGGGTGACAGGGATGTGGAAAGGTGATTCTGAACACTGGCTGGCATGGCCAGTGTGAGCATCCCCAGCTTTCCTCACCCAGGCATGGGTGTACAGGCTGCCACCCAGAACTATGGAGACATGTGCTGGACCCAAGGGCAGGTACCATGGGGGCAATGTGGGCCGGTGGAGGCACAGATTGAGTGGCTGCTGTAGCCTGAGCATCTGTCAAAGGGAACAGAAAGTTGTCTACACGCCTCACCTCAAATCACTTTGTGCCAAGTCATCCCTTTCATCCGGGGGTCCGAAGTCAGCCACTGCCAGTAACTGATCTATCTGGAAAGGAAGCATGGGGAGGGCAAGCTACAGCATCATAACCTCCCACAGCCCAGCGCAAGTTTCATGGCTGTAGTTAATGCAGACGCCTTCTCAATGCAATAATACAATGGAAGTCTGTGATTCACACCCCTCGCCGGTGTTCTAACCTGTCACAACTTCCCCAACGACTGAGGCTTCTACAACTTGAAACATTAAGCAAGTCTATGAGGAAAATAACACTGGATGAATTGTGTAACATTATTTACTGGTTTCTAAAGTAGTTCTCAGAACGACTCCATTTTGCCACAGAATTTGTGTTTGGGAAAGGGAAGCTTGCAGGACTGGCAGAACAGATGTGAAGGCTAGTCACAGTCACAGGTGCCCACTCTGTGGGATCGAGAGGCCTGAGCCAACCCAGCAGCACTCGGGAGACAGAGGAAGGTGGATCTCTGTGAGTTCAAGCTCAGCCTGGTCTACAGAGTGAGTTCTAGGCCAACTAACTGAGGCTACAAAATGACTCTGTCTTAAAAAATAAAAGAAAGTAAATTAACTGAAATTAAAATTTTACTCACTGAAGTTCCATGAGAATAAAAAAAGCAGAAAAGTAAAGTGTAAAAAGTAACTATTTGGGCAGGGGAGATGGCTCACTTGCAGCCAAGCGGGGTGTCCTGAGTAGGGCCCTCAGGTCAGACTCGATAGAAGGTTGTTATGACCTCCACACCCACTGGCTGTCGAGTTTTACACCAACTTGACCAAGCTAGAGTCATCTGAGAAGAGGAACCCTCAACTGAGAAGATGCGTTTTCTGGCCTGTGGACAAGCCTGCAGAGCAATTTCTCAATCAGGGATTGACGTGGGGAGGGCCCAGCCCGTTGTGGGTAGCACCATCCCTAGGTAGAGGTCCTCTGGTGTGCTAGGAAGCTGGCTGAGCAAGCCATGAGCAGTAAGGTGATAAGCAACACTGCCACACAGCCGCCTCCAGGTCCCTGCCCTGTTTGAGTTCCTGCCATCAGTTCCCTCAGTGATGGAATGTGATGTAGAACTGTGAGCTGGAATAAACCCGTTCCTCCCCAAGCTGCTTTTGGTCATGTCGTATGTTTTATCATACCATACATATCCTATCCTATCATATCAATGTTTTATCATAGCCATAGAAACCCTAAGATACCTACACATACAAAAGTGAGTAAATATGGCTGGCTGCAGAGATGGCTCAGTGATTGAGAACATTGGTTACTCTTCCAAAGGATCTGGGTTCAATTCCAGTACCCACACACTAGTTCCCGGGACCGAATGCCCTTTTCTGGCCCCAGAGGGTAATATAGGCATGTGATACGTAGAGGCAAAACACCTATACACGTAACATTTTTTAAAATCTAGTAAACATCAGGACTTTTAATCCCAGCACTTGGGAGGCAGAGGCAGGTGGATCTCTGTGCGTTCAAGGCCAACCTGGTCTACAGAGCTAGTTCCAGGACAGGCAGGGTTATACAGAGAGAAACTCTGTCTTGAACAAAAACAAACAAAACTAATAAGTAAATAAAGGCTCATTCTGGTGTACATGAGATTTAAAAAGAAAAACAAACAGAAAAGCTAATTATTAAAAAAAAAAAAAAAAAAGCTCACCTCAGCCAGAATTATGTCTTTTTTGTCTTGAATAAACACTATAGGCGGGACATTTCTCAGGGTCTGCTGAGACATCAGAAGATGCCTGGGGAGAGAGCACACTTGGTGAAGAGGAGCCTAACACAAACTACACCAAACTCACCAAATGGCCAGGCTGTAAGGGAGGCACTATGGAGACAGGAAGGGGAGGGGAAGGGAAGGAAGGGAAAGAGAGGGGAGGGGAAGGGAGGTAAAGAAGCCGGAGAGAAGCAAAGCTTTGGTGAAGCCTCTCCGAACTGCCTCATCACTGAAGAGCATACGAATAACTGAGTGTGCTGGCTGGTTCTGGGTGCCAACCTGACACAGCCAGAGTCATCAGAGAGGAAGGAGCCTCAGCTGAGAGGCCTCCCAGAGCCCAGCTGTAAGGCATCCTCTCAATGAGGAGGGCCCAGCCCTTGATGGGTGTGGCCATCCCTGGGCTGTTGGTGCTGGGCTCTGTAAGACAGCAGGATGAGCAAGCCATAGAGCAAGCCCGTAAGCAGCACCGTCCATGGTTTCTGTATCAGCTCCTGCCTGTAGTGACATCTCACCTTGCCAGTGAATCTGTGTTAGTGGTCACATCAGGAGAGGGGTGGGGGGGGGAGGGAGAGAGGGAAAGAGGGAGAAAGAGGAGGGAGAGAGAGGAACAGAGGGAGAGGGAGAGAGAGGGAGTGGGAGGGGAGGGGAGGGAGGGGAGAAAGGGGGAGGGAGGGAGGGGAAGGAGGGGGAGGGAGGGGAAGGAGGGGGAGGGAGAGGAGGAGGGAAAGGGAGGGGAGGGAGAGGGTGGGAGGGCAGGGAGGGAGGGGGAGAGATAAGGAGAGGGAGGGGGAGGGAGGGGGAGGGGTGGGAGGGCAGGGAGGGAGGAGGAGGGCACCCACAAGTGTTCTCCCTTCCAGTCACATCCCACACCTGAAGCCACACCTAAGGGGGTGTGGTCACTATCGCAAATTCACTGACAAGGTGAGATGTTACTACAGCAGCCTCCGGGTTCCAGCCCTGCTTCAGTCCCTGACCTGACTTCCTTCAATAATGAACAGCAATGTGGAGCTGTAGCCAAATAAACCCTTTCCTCCCCAGCAGCGGCAGCCCTAACTAAGACACGGAGTGACTTCACTGTGTCCAAGCAGCAAATCTATCTGCAAAATTTTGGATCCAGGATTCTTTATGATCTTAAGAAGTTACTGAGAATGGCCAACAACTTTTTTGGTTTTTTTTTTTTTTTTTTGTCTATTTGTTTGGTTTTGGGTTTTTGTTGTTGTTCTTAAGAGACAGGGTTTCTCTGTAGCTTTGGAGTCTGTCCTAGAATTCACAGAGATCTGCCTGCCTCTGCCTCCTGAACGCTGGGATTAAAGACCAACAACTTTTTTTAATGTTGTTCTATTGATGTTTACTACACTAGAAATTAAATCTCAGGAATTTCAAAATGACATATTTTAAAAGTCATTTAAAATAATGAACCTACTAACTGCTGGCACAAACATTTTAATGAAAAAAAAAATGGCTTTTTACAGAAGAACTAGCAGCAGGGGCCTTGTGTGTGTGTGTTTGTATATGTGTAAGTGTGTATGTGTGTAATGTGTGTATATGTGTGTATGGGTGTGTATATGTGCAATGTGTATGTATTGTGTGTGTATGTAATGTGTGTGTATGTATGTATGTAATGTGTGTGTATGTGTGTGTGTGAGAGTGTGTGTGTATGTATGTATGTAATGTGAGTGTATGTGTGTGTGAGTGTATGTGTGTGTATAAGTGTATATTGTGTAAGTGTGTATCTGTTTGATGTGTATTTGTGTGTATGTATGTATTATGTAATGTGTGTGTATGTGTGTGAGTGTGTTTGTGTGTGTATGTATGTAATGTGTGTGAGAGTGTGTGTATGTATGTATGTATGTAATGTGAGTGTATGTGTGTGTATAAGTGTGTGATTATTGTGTAAGTATGTGTTTAATGTGTATGTGTGTTTGTGTGTATGTATGTATGCAATGTGTGTGAGTGTGTGTGAGTGTGTATGTATGTAATGTAAGTGTATGTGTATGTGTGAGTGTGTGTGTGTATAAGTGTGTGTATATTGCGTAAGTATGTATGTGTTTAATGTGTATGTGTGTTTGTGTGTGTGTATGTATGTAATGTGTGTATGTGTATGAGAGTGTGTGATTGTGTGTGTATGTATGTATGTATATATGTATGTAATGTGAGTATATGTATGTATGTATGTGAGTGTGTGTGTGTGTATGTGTGTGCATTTTGAGGTCCAGCTTGGGGCTCACAAAACTGTGGCCTTGCACAGATAGGAAGCAGAGGAAGGGGAATGTATGAATGGTCCTTGGTTAAGCATCTCGGTAAAATGCATCCAGGGCTGGAGCTGATGCGCCTTCTCCCCAGTCATGGCTTTACAGTCCTGTGTGCTAGTCCTGCGGTTGACACCAGGTCCAAATTCCGGGCAGTACTGTGTGTGTGGCATTGTAGATCTCACCAGAACAGCTGTAGAGTTCTTCAGGCAATCAAGCTCATAGAAGATGCCAACTGCTCAAGTTCTCAAAGGTTACATTTTGCTACCAGCATTGGGCATGACCAGCTGCTAGCTCTTTAGTGATTCCCTTGTTTATTCTTCAGAGACATCTGCCAAAAACCTACACTTGAGCAGCTGTAGACATTCTCTCTCTCTCTCTCTCTCTCTCTCTCACCTGTGTGCGTGTGTGTGCGTGCGTGCGTGCGTGCATGCGTGCGTGTGTGTGTGTGTGTGTGTGTGTGTGTGTGTGTGTGTGTGTGTATGCATACCCTAGGGAAGGGCTATGCCTCAGCAAACATCAGAGACCTGCCTGCTTCCCATCAAGGGCCAATTTTTGAAACAGTGTAATTTAACGTTTTCACTTGTTCATCCAGGGTACTCTTAGGTGGACCAGGCACTGTGTAAGCATGGGCAGCGGTGCAGTAAGGAGCCAGCTTTAGCGCAGTGAGGCAGACACAGCTCCTAGTATTGCCAACATGGTTCTTGCCACACAGAACCCAGAAAGGATCTAGGGGGCCCTACAAAACTGTTGAGAAATCTGGTTAGATTAGGTCTTATAGGAAAATGTAACCTATACTCTAAAATTAAGGGAAGGCTTCCAAGATATTCCCTAAAAGAAAAAAGTCCTCAATGAGAACTTTTAAAAGTTTACCTACAGACACACAGCCAAGGCCCTTAGGGTTCCAGCAGAAGGCAGGGCTTGCAGAAAGTCAAACAGCGTCCCTCACCTTATGTAGGCAGCGCTCCTCTGCAGGACAGCCTCCGTGTGCCTGTTCTGGTCGGCAGAGACACCTGTCTTCCAGTATACTCGGCAGGCTGAGAAGTCTGAAGTCACAGAGACCTGAGGCGCACCCCAGCTGCAAGTTACTTTAGGTATACGGTCTTCCTAGTTCACAAAGCCACAGCTAAGGACGCTTCTTTTGCCTCTCACACCCAGATTATTCTGGTGGTGCCAGTCAGAGACCACAGCATTCATGGCAGGGAAGTAGGGTCATGGACTCCCAAGCTCACCCCCGTGGACCTCACAGCATTGCTGCTGCATGCTAATCTCTCCAGAGGTAGGGAACTGGAAATGACCAACTGCCACCTACTTCTTCAGCTCAGCCCCTTCTAGGAAAGATGGAGCAGCCTCCATTATCTTTATGAAATCAAAGACAATGGATACCACACCACATCCCTACACGTCTTCCAGTGCTTTGTCTCATCACACCTGCTGCTGCTGTGTAGTCAGGGGTCCCTCACCCAAGCAGGGAAAAAAGCTTTGCCTCTGCACCTTGTCCCATGACTTCAACCAGACTTGACACCACCTCTGCAGCCCCAAACCGAGACCTCAGCTGTGATGGGTTCAGACAAAAGTAAGCCTGTGCCCTCCCGTCCCCAACCCTGACCTGGGCTCACCTTGGAGAGCTCCACATTCAGGTTGTAGACCTCCTGGCTCACTTCAGGGGTGCACAACAGTTCTGTCAGTGCTTTGTAGAGAAGGCCATTCAGGGCTCTCAGGCGCACAGTGTCTTCCTTCCTGGCCTTCTTTAAGGTGCTTTTCATGAGGAACTCAAACTTGGATGGCTTGTGAGTCAAGGAAGACCCCAGTGATGGGCCATCATACCAGAACTTCTTTCTATATCAAGAAAACAAAATTCAGGTGGCGGGTGCTGGAGAAATGACTCAGTGGACCTGGGTTCAGTTCCCAGTACCCACATGGCATCCCAGAATCCCGGAACCCGATGCCCTCTTTAGACCTCTACAGATACTGGCATGCACATAGTGCAAAATACTTAAGACTTATAATAAATGGTTTTTGTAGAGATCACCTGCCTCTGCCTCTGAGTGTGGGATTAAAGGTGTGAGCAAATCTCTAAAACTCATATACTTAGGCCAGGCAGTGGTGGCACACACCTCTAAACCCAGCACTAGAGGGACAGGCAGGTGGATCTCTGTGAGTATGAGGTCACCATGGTCTACAGAGTGAGTTCCAGGACAGCCAGGGCTACATGAAGAAACATTGTCTTTAAAAAACCATGTACACACACACACACACACACAAACACATACACACAAAGAAACAAAAAAAAAAAAACCCTTGTATACATAAATCTTTAAAAGGGGGTCTCTTTTTTAAAAAGATTATAGTTACGAAAGTTAAGAAAAGACTTGCATGAACTAGGTCAAAGGCTATGACACTTCAAGTGTAGCGTGCAATCATGGGACATGACAGGGACAGGTTAATGGGACCCTAACAACTACTCAAGTCTAGTAGACAACACGTGATTGTGGGGATGGGACAGAAGACAGTTTTAACCCAACCCTGTCATTCTGACTCTTGCCTATCTACAATGAAAAGATGGAAGAGCCTTGACATTTTATCTCCAACTTTCACAAACGAAAGCGCTATGCCTCATTGATGGCTCTGAAGCGCTCGACTGAACCGTTAGGAAACTGAGGGTATCCTCACTGCTCACGGATGGGACAGGAGGGAGTTCCAGGACAGTAGGGGAAAGAGGACAAACCTCCAGATAAGCATAAGCAGAGGGACCAAAGGCCAGATACACCTGTACTGTAACCTGTGTAAGAATGGCTGATTCTTAGGGCTGGGGGTGGGGGTGGGGCATATGGAAGGTGAATGGAAGACTTCTTCAAGTGTCACAGAGTAAGAATCGATAGACGTGAGGTCTGTCAAGGGAACAAAGGGGTTGACGGGCTGCTGATGGCCAAAGATAGAACACTCGGAGCAAAGTAAAGCAACACATCTCCCACAAAGAATTCCAAATAATCCACAGTCACAACTCTTCACCTCTTAAGGTCAGGGGCTACACACACAAACTTCCTAACCCCCCCCCAAAAAAAATGACAAAAAGAGACACCAACACCCCAGGACAGTGGTGAGCACAGTGGCTAGATATGCCATGGTGGTTTTCCTCTGCTACTTTCCCCCCAACTCCGCAACCCACTTATAATCATCAAATTCCAGTGGTGTGCAACCATACAGCTTCCAACCAGGATTTCCCAAGTCTGTTACAGCTGTCAAACAGGGAAAGTCGAACATGTCAGTCGAGCTACCGTGTCTGAATAGGAAAGGACATTAAGGATGCCACGTTAACTTAAGTTCTGTTAGAAAATCTGAGGCCAGTCTCAGAACTATGCACTTCTTCGGTAAACCTAAAACCACCCGTAACATCATTTGTTAAAAACAACCCCCCCCTCAAAATATAAACTGGCTAACCACACTTAGTAGACTGTAAGAGGCTGTGGAAATCAAAGCATCTTTGTCTTGCGTTGTTTTTGTTTTTCGAGACAGAGACAGAGCTTCTCTGCTTAGCTCTGGCTATCCCGGAACTCATGCTGTAGAACAAGGGTGGTCATGGACTCAGAGATCCCGCTGCTTCTGCCTCCCGGGTGGGATTAGAGGCGTGCGACGCCACCGCCCCGCGAAATCAAAGTATCTCATCACATATGTATTACTAAAACAATATGTAATTACGACAAATTTTATGCAGTGTGAGGTTTCAGGAGGCTTAGCAATGTATAAAAAGAATGCGTAGTAGGGACGCGGAACTGTGTCAAAGGCCAGACTGCAGGGCGATCTGCCAATAACCATGTTCTAACACGAATATAGCACGCCCCCTCTCCCCCGTATAGACATCTAATCCCACCGACCCGACCCAGCCCCACGTGGACATCTGTCCCCTGCAGAAACCGCCTCCGTCCAACCGTGCACCAGGCGACCGAGCCCGCCGCGGGCCCTGGCCGGTGCATACCTGGTTTTCGAGGCAAATTTCTTGAGCAAGTTCTTGCTGCCGCAGGAGGCGACGGAGGTGTGCAGGGCCTGCGCGCGGCCGGGAAGAAGCTCGGCTCCACGGCCGCCCCGCAGGGCCTGCAGCCGGGCGCAGGAGGCCCTCAGCCCCGCGGCCCCGGCCCACATCCCGCGGAGCGCGCGGCGTGCAAGCCCCAGGCGGCGCGGGACTGACCGGCGCGTGAGCCGCAGACGACTAAAGATGCGACCCGCATCGGACGGGGAGGCCACACCCACATGTGGGAGGGGCTAACCGACAGGTGGGCGGGGCCACGGCGCGGAGTTATGACTGCATTGGGGGCGGGGCGCCAACAGTGAGCTGTGGGGTCCGGGGCTCAGACCACCTAGGGTTTCTTTATTATTATTTTTTTTTAACCCAATATTTATTTTGTTATTTATTTATACGAATGCAGGTGTTGGGGCGGGGGTGTTGCAGAATGCAGGTGCGGTCGGGAGCCAGAAGAGGGCGTGCGATCCCCTGGAGCCGGAGTTAAGGGAGATGGAAAGATGGGAACTCAGCAACCCTCTGGAAGAGCAGCCAGGGCTCTTTAACTGTTTAGCCTTCTCTTCGTCCTCTCCCAGCTTATTTTACACCAAGGCCATGGTACAACACTGTAGTGAGCCCTTCTAAAGCTGGACGGGCGTTTTAAACGTTTCACCACTAAAGAAGGAACATGCCTGAGGAGACAGTTGAGATGGTTCAAACATGCAATGCAACCGCGTATGGAGACAGTGTATGGTGGCCATCAATACTCTCTGGATTGAGAGACAGTATTATATTGATGCTACTGTAAGAAATCTGTAAAAGTAAAAAACAGGCAGGCAATGGGTTACAAAGGGCTTTGCATGCAGGCACTTTGAGTGAGGAGATGGAAGGGAGATGCGCCTAACTCCACTGTCTGCAGTCTCCCAAGGACTGTTTCCTTATTTCTATCTGTAAGAGCAAGGTAAACTGGACAGGATGGAGTTAACTCCATCCTCGGAAAAAGCTTCCTTAAGAAATTCCCTGTGTGGCAAAGGCTGATTCAGCTCCAGCCAAGGAACCATAAACAGTTCCAAGGAGCACCCAAACTGTGCCCACCCGGGTCAAAATGACCCCATCCGGGTGGTCAGGCAATGACTAATTTTGGTAAATAACATCTTCTCGCCACAACTGTCCTTGTGGACAACTTGTGGACAACAGAGGTATAAACCTCTGTACACAAGAACGCTAAACTTTGTGATTAAACAGTCACCAGATGATAATAGTTTTAAAGGCATAAAGGGTACTTGCTTTATCTTTGATATTACAGAAAGGCATTAAGAGATTTTTAAGTTTTTAAAAACAGTTTTTAAATATTTAAATGTATAAAGCTATGGGATATTTGTAATCATAAATAATTATACTTAAATTAAAAAGCAAAATTTAAACTCACAGCCAAAAACACTATATATTAACCAAAAATTGAGATTTTTATTTCTTATGATACAAGTAAGGCAATGACCTAAGTCTAAAAAACAGGACTCAGGGTTGCTTCTAAGCCCACGAGTCTCAACCCTTTAGGGGTTAAAAACCTTTTCATAAAAGTAGCCTAAGACCACCTGTATATCAGATGTTTACACTGATAACAATGGGAAAAATTTCTAATAGGGGATCACCACAACATGGGGAACTCCTTTAAAAGGTCAAAGCATTAAAATTTTAAAGATAAACCTGACAGTGTAAAGTCCTAGTCTTATAAAAGCTGCTTACCTATTGTAAGATGTTAAGAAATGCAAGTTAATAGCCATCCTTAAAAATGATCAAGTTTGTTAATTGTAGTCATGCTAAGTATTAATATAGTTAATTCACAGGGATAAACTTTACTTAGTTCCCTGTATATGAGCTCAAAACAAGTAACTGAAAGCAAAGTTATTTATTCCAATTTACCTCTAATACTATAGAGATCTGCAGAATATGGCATTTAAAATGTTAGGTTAAAAGCTTATAATATCAGACAGAGACTCCCAGATCCTGACAGGTCTCCAAAGAAGATCATGGGGCACCATGATGCCTACACCTGGATCACAATGATACTGGACCGGGTGGGGGGAGGGGGAAGATTCCCCAATGCAACACCTGCTGCCAGGACCCTGCCCAGGCTGTGGACAGGCTGCAGGACACTGGAAAATTGATTTTACCACGTTTGCCTAGACAAAATAAGGTCAATCTTTCCCATGTCTCTCTTCCACAGAAGAATAAAACCTCTCACCTTATGGGCCTGGCAAAGATTGATACTGTTCTTTGATACTTTTGCCTCCAACACTATGGAGACGTGGATATGGCTAACTGTATATGGACTGGTCCCTGTCATTTTTAATAGATTCAGAAGCTGCATAAAATTTATAGAATTTATCCTTCTCAAATCTCTGATGGTATTGATGGTTGGGGTAGCTATAACTTTGTCAGTTTGGCAGCTTCAGACAACCAGATCCTTCTGCAAGGCTATAGCCAGCTTGGTAGCTCAGTTTACATATTAAAAATCAAGCCTTGATATGGATGCTAAATAGGAGTCTAAAGAAGTAAGTGCATACAAGTTTTAAGGATATAAAAATAATTTAAGGTATAAAAGTGGTTTTATATAAAAGTTCAGAGCCTAACAACTAAAAGAGTTCTGATAAGCTTATAGAGCTGTGCCTACCTGCTGTTCAGTCACAAGCTCAAAAATTTGGATTTATTTTGGTTGTTACCTAAATAAAACATAAAGGGCTTCCCATCAGGCCAAAGACATCTCTGTCCAATCTATACCTGGCTCTCTCTGGACAGAAGGAAAATGCACACATCTGTAGTTTTTGCCAGTACTCAGAGGTATACGTCTATTACACATACCCAATATCTGCTTTTGCTAAAATATGTAATTCAGTGTAGATTGGTAATGCTAATGGGCCCAAAACGTTTATATCCTTTTGTCTAATAAAGTTCATGTAGGCTTCAGAAGATCAAAAGTCATAAAGCATGGGTCCACTTCTCACAGGTCAAAGGGCTCCAGATAAGGACAGTCTTTGTTTTCCCACCTGTCCCTAGGGATGGGATTTTCTCCCTGGTATTAGGACTTCCTGATCACTGCAACTATGGGCCTATGAGTTCCAACTGAGTACATAAGCTTTAACGTTTGCTCCTAGTTTAAATATGTCTTAACAGCTTTCTCCAAGCATCAGTTGCTGACCACAGCCTGCTCCAAAAGACTGAACTCTGGGCTTGTGGATGTAAACCAGTCCAGCCGATGTGAACACTTGCCGTATATTCAACAGAGTCTGCAAACCAGATGCTTCTGATAAATACCCCCTTGCCTAAATCCCCTTTTTGCTTTTGACTAGCATTTCAGCCTGTTTGGGCCCCTGACAACAACATCCCCAAAGTCATCAGGAAGTAGCACAGGGAAGAATACACCAACCCTGTTCCCTGGTTAAAATGCTAAGTCAAAACAAAAACAAAAACAAAGCAAAAAAAAAAAAACAACAAAAAAAAAAAAAAAAAAAAAACCCTCCCTTACATGGGGGAAGGGACAAGATGATGATAGAACCTGTACCCCAAACTTCCCCAGAGTCTTTTAAATTGTCCACTAGTAACCCAAGAATAGGTTACCCATAAGAAAAACATGGGACTGTAAGAGCAAGGTAAGCTCAGAAAAAAGCCATCTTGAGAAATTCCCAGTATGGCACAAGGATGATTCCTTACTGCAGTTCGGGAGAGTCTTTGCCCAGAAGGCTATCAGGTTCTAGTGACCTAGGCATAACACTATCATTAGTTTTCCTGCTCTACTTTTTTGCAGTATTCCCTCACCTCATCAAATAAGCAGTCACCTCTTCATTGGGGAGAAAGTTTAAAACAGGGATTGTAAGGAGTATGGCTTTTCCGCCCACCGCCTGGTCTTGTCCCCCTGCCTCGCCAACCCCAATTAGCACACAGAGACTCTGTATTAGATATAATTCTGTTGGCCAGTTACTTGTTTCTTATTGGCTAGCTCTGTCTTAATTATTAACCCATTTCTATGTATTTTCACGTGGTTTGCATTAGAATTTACCAAGATGGGAGGTAATATGGTCAGTAGTTCTAACCCAGAGTTTGCACCCAAATTCAAATTAAAACAAGCCTCATGTTTCCATTTAAACCTGATGTTTTCAGGCAAAGCCTTTATTGTGAGCAATGACCTACTCTTTTAGTTGTTTTTTTTTGTTGTTGTTATTGTTTGTTTTTTGTTTTTGTTTTCTCCACATCATTCTGTTTCAGGTAGCAAGGGAAGTCATGTTTGGCAATAGTCAGTACAAGCAGCGCTTTAAGTGAATTAATAAAGAGAAGCCAACAATCGAATTATTGGCCCTTTCTGCCTTATTCTATTTCAGTAGGGTGTGGACACAGACGTTTTCCCATAGTAGCCAAAGGGCTTGTTGCATGAGAGCACATTGCAATCCCAGAGAAAGCCTGTGAACACAGACAGGTAACAGGCTCTGTCTTGCTGTGGTGTTCAAATCTACTAGGAAAGACTGAAGACTTAGACTCAATTCAAATTTAGATTAAACAAATTTATTCTTGTTGCTAGCAGGACAACACCCTTAGAGCCAAACAGCATGCTGTAAGGAAAGGGGTTAAGGCTTTAAAGACGGATATCAGAAAGGTATGTCTTACAACTAATTATCCATGGAATGCACAGTCAGTCAGGAAAAGTATTTTACTTCCTTCAGTTGTTTTTATGGTAATAAAAAGACCATCTAGCCAGGCAGTGGTGGTGCACACCTTTAAACCCAGCACTCAGGAGGCAGAGGCAGGTGGATCTCTGAGTTTGAGGCCAGCCTGGTCTACAGAGTAAGTTCCAGGACAGCCAGGGCTACACAGAGAAGAAACCCTGCCTTGGAACAAACAAAAAGACCATTTCATCCTTTCCCCATGGCAATAAGTAAGTTTTACAGAAGCAAAGGCAGCAGTTAATACCTCACAATCCACTGAAGAGTTTATACAGCCTGATAAGCCTCTCTGACCATGCAGCAATCTAAGTCAGACCAAATCAAACTGAATTAGAAAAAAGCCCACAGTCAATGGATACAATGCTCCCAGATGGCCTTCCAGTCCCCCAGAGAGGAGATGGGAAAGGCAGTTTAAATACCCTGTGGGAGTGGTCTTGAGCATCTCTGGGGGAAGGGTCATCAT